GATTTTCGACATTTTAGGCCGTCGCTGATGCATTTAATCCTGAGGTTTTGTCAGTACGCAACACTGTTGGGTACACACCCGTTTGAAGATGCCAGCCATGCGTGCCAGCGAAACGTTAGGATTCCGTTTCTTATCTATTGCTTGAAATAGTCGAAAGTGCAACTCTTCATTTGCATCCTTTAGAACCCGTTAGAAGCCATAACTCCGCAGTGGCCGTCGATATAATTAAGGCAACGGTACTGCAGATAGGTTACGTTAGTTAGGTAGCATGATGGCGATGGAGGAAAGAACGCAAATTCCCCATCTTAAGCCTGATGGCCGGATGGCTGCAAGGAAAAGTTGAGGACTTGTAAAGAGCGCATTAAGCATCTGAAACTGATAGCAAGGTGAAATGAGTAATTAAGAATAGAGGCTCCAAACTCATTAAACCGATAGGCCGTCAACAGGCAACACCAAGAATGGACGTGAACTCTTGCGGTCGTTTTTATTGCATTGTTGCACTAACGAGAGACTGAACATTTTATGCCTTTACTACAGGGTGGCACAGAAATTGCCCTCAATTGAAATTGTCTTTCAGTGCTAAAACGGGCTGGAGCTTTTTATTTTGGCCAAAGACAGTCGAATGATGCATTGAACTAGTAGGTAGAATGCCCTAACAGAAGAAAGGACTCCAGAGGGGGTCGTTTGAAGGTCCCTGAAAAAAGCCCTTGATCTGGTTGTCAGTGGCGGTTGTGTTTACCTGCCTGTTTCGGGTTGTCGTCCATCGACTTAACAGCACTAAACCGAAGAAGGACTCTAAAGCAAAAACATGGCGTTGAGCAAGTAAGGGGAATATCATGGGTCTAATTAGAGGGGCTTAAATAGTTGCCACTTCTTCTCCAGACTATTACCATTAAGAGACAAAAGAATTAATTATCCCTGCGATGGTGCATCCGATATGAATTTTCATAAAGGCGCATTTTGAGCGCGAGCAAAAAGCTGGAATTATGAAACTGAAATAACTCGGCAACAGTCGCAGCAGATCAATAGGATTTTTTAATTACAAGAAGCCCAGACCGGGCAACGTCCCGAGATTTTTAATTAGTTCACTTTTGCTTTTGGACGGTTTAATATGGCTACCGATTATAAGAAACCCCCCGACAATGGCACATTAAACATTACGATATGGTGCGAATATGGATCGAAATGGCATTCGTCGATCGCTGCTCGGAATCGCTAATGCCATCAAGGTGAAGATGGCACGTTGGCAACTGACGACAATCGAAGAACCAGCTTTGACAAAAGTTTTTATGAAAACCTGCTGGGTGGATATAGTGAGAACAAAAAAAAACACCACTTTGGATGCCGATAAATCTGCCGAACCGTTACAAAGCCGCTGGGATGAATTGGGTCACATTTGTCAAGTTCATAGTATGGGTTTCTTGGCCAGTAATGAAAATCGTCCTTTGGACACTGTTCCGGTTGAGATTTCTATTAGTGCGGCCCAGTGAAGAGAAATTCTGGGTGGGTGGCTGAATAGTGCGAAAGATGGCTTCTTCCTATCTTCTTCTCACTTTCTTTAGTAGCGAAATATCTGCCGATAATTTATTGAGGTGCAATGCATTGTTCTTGACCTAAAAAGTGTTTGAGCTCATAAGAAAGCCGTAATTTTTTTTGGATCTGAAAAGTCCGGCGTAGTTTCAATGGGCCCGTTTGCCGATGAAAGTCGGTTATGTTTGAAACTATCTGAGCGCTTTGCTCCAAGTTCCTTCTCACCTATAAAAACTCGCACCTTTCAAACTACAGCAAGTAGCTACCTGAAATTTGCACTTTTTTAACACGAAAAATTTTCGGAATACTGATTTTTACCAGCTTAGCAAATGTGGGGCTTAAAGTGGATGTTCTTGTCCAACTGCGTGCTCGCCTTCAAAAGTTCACATCTTCCATACTGAGGCAATCATCTAGCTGAAAGTCACCCAATCTTTAGCAGACACGTGGCGCTACATTTGGGCGAAGTTTCACAAAAATTGCCTTAGTTGATGTTATTTGCCAGCTTAGCAAATGTGGGCCTTAAAATGAATGTTGCTTCTGAACTGTGTTTTCAACGTCAAAAATTCACAGGTTTCCAACTAAGACAAATAACAGCTTGAAATGTGTTCCATCTTTAGAAAACACTGAACTCTAGAGATGGGAAAAATTTGACGAAAATCTTCCGGAATCCTGATTTTTACCAGCTTAGCAAATGTGGGTCTTACAATGGATGTTCTTTCTTAATTGCGTTCTCGCCGTTAAAAATTGAGCACTTCTAAAATAAGACACGTACTTTAGTCTAAAGATGTTGAAAGTTTAACAGTAATCACCCGGATTGTTGATTTTTACTAGCTTGGCAAATGTGAGTCTGAAAATGGATGCTCTTACTGTTTCAAGAAATGGAAAGTAGCAAATTGAAATTTTTACCATCTTTTGAAAACGCTTGATTGACGTGGCTGATAGATTTCTCCAATAACTTTGTGTTTTTAAACACAAAGCCAAGCTGCCAAGTACTCGTTTGAAGAAAACCCTATTAGAATCCTTGATGGTTTTGGTTTGGTTGAGCAAACAAACCGAAAAAGCCGAAACCGGTTGGTTAATCCCTGTCCACATGGTGTTGTTTGCCGGCAAATGTTTAAATATTAGCACGATCTGTTGGCCATCAACTGATACGCCCAATTTAGAACTAATTAACGATTTGCATAATTCACTGGTGTTACATTAATCGAGTAGTGTCATGTTCAGCCCGTTTAAACTTCTCACAGTCGCAACTTGATAATTCCGCTCTGCGTTGCAAAGATAGAGCGGACCCATCACGCTCTATTAGACACAAGACGTCCTCGTAAACCGTCCGTATTGTTTGAGCGCATTACTCGTTCGCTCTGTAGAGAGCCGCTCCGGGTTAATCCATTAAAACTGTTTGTGCATGGAACTGGCAACTATCGACCCCTATCGGCCGATAGTTCTGTTCCAGACGTACGTCTTTTGTTGGGAAGTTGCCGGACTTTTTGGGCGCAGTAGGCTACACTTGTGTTTTGTTAGCTCATCTACCGCACCTCAGACGCCCAAATGTTGCACGTCGAGCCCAACTTTGCCTGTGTGATTTCCGACTAAATATTGCCACAGCAAATAATACATCAATATTAAATAAAACTGTTAATCTTCAATGAGAAACATTGGCAAATTTGCCGGTCGTTTATCAATAATGTATAATGGATAACGGGCAGTTCAAGCGATGTTTGTTTTCGGGGCTTTTCCAAACTGTACACATACACGCACACACGAAACTAATTGCTGCTAATCATTTACTTCGTTAAATTCATTTGCAATTTTCCAGATGGACAACAGGAAGGTTTAAGCAAATTTTAGGTGTACGAATTTACCGTTTACTTATATTTAGTAGCTTTCTATCAGTGAAGTTTGAGGGCAAAATCAAGAACCAACAAATTTTTTCTGTTGCCCTTGCGCCTTCTCGATTCGTAGGCAGTAAATCGTGCATGTCGCGAACTTCAATTTTCTTCAGATGGTCATAGCCACTCACTTATCTAAATCTTCTGCACATATGAACATTAGATGAAGATGAGTGTAAAACTGAACGTTTCTGCTGCTTTCGCGACATCACATTTCCCTATATGGGATTGGGGCGAAAAATCCAATTTTCTTAGGACAGATAACATTGTCGAGCCTCCTACCCAAATAAATCGGTCTAATAGCCGCCGAATCCATTCAATCCGTTATCCAGAGTGAAAAAATGGGACGTCCTTTATTGAGCGAAAACCAGAATTCTCCGGGTATTACGGGGGCTCTACCGTTTGACTGAATTTATTGTCGTAAATTTGGTCCAATAAAATAATAAAAATGTGCCAGCCAGCTGTCACCGTTATTTACGACACCATGTATAAATGAGAATTAGTTTCAGTCGAAACTGGGGATTTTGGGTATCGATTCGCGGGATTTGGACGCGATCGGACACTGTTTTCCGTGCTACTTCA